TATCCAGAAGAAATTTCTATATCATTGGATGGTGATGTATTCGGTTTGAAGGTTCAATACGAATGTCATTCAATCCCTTGTGAGTTTTATATGTCTCTGGTTCACTACTCATCTCTATGCCCTTTAAAGTCCACTGAGGCATCCGATCAGGTTGTGAATCTTCCTATTACTACTAGAGGAAGAAGTACCATTAGGAAACTGAGGTCTAGACCACCCTCTCAAACTCATTCAGCTAATGTTAAACAGCCTACTAGTCACACCCACCCAAGTTAGTCCTTATCCACCACCATTGTCACTGACACCAGAAATCCCTCATTCAAATCCCCTGCTTCAGACCAACCCTCTAAACCACAACCTCACCTAACCTCTACTTTCATGGATACCACTAATCCCACATCGCAAGCAGTTACCAATCCTCAAATCCCAAAACCTCCAACTCCTAAGACCAATTCTGAATCACATGTATCCCATTCAATGAATACTGACATCTCCAACCCCATTTTATCAAACCTTAATTCACCCACTGAAGATGACACTTCATCAACCAGCACTACCCATATTCCTGGCTTTTCCAATCAACCAATTGTGAACTCTCCCAACAAATTTGATGTTCTTCAACATCAAGATGATCTACAAAAAAAATGCCTCTATTGTTGCTACAAAAGGCTGTAATAGCATAGTACATACTCTTCTTCTAATTAATAATCAACAACAGCCTAAAAAATCCTTCAGGGCGAAGGGTCAAAAAACCCCCCAACACTCAAAATCTTAATGTCTCTGCCACCTTTAGCAGTTTCGAATATCAGGGGCTTCAATAGCCCTAATAAGGTGGTAAGCTGTAGACAATTTGTTAAGTTGAATAATCTGAACATGTTATATTTGTTGGAGAATAGGATACATGTATCTACTCTTCAAGACCCTTTCTTCAATTCTTCTCATTATATTTTCACAACTAAGGACAACAGTGATAATTTTGAGCTAAATTAGTCTGGTCGTATATGGGTCAAGTGGAATCCTAATAAGTTGAAGTTCACTCCTTCACTTATTTCCTCTGAAATCATATCTGGCATGGTCTCCTCTGGGATTTTTACCTCTTTTTACCTTTCTGTCATTTATGCTTATAACAGCTCTCTTGATAGGCTAGCTTTATGGGATCAAATTAGACATATTGTGCTGTCCAAAAATTCTCCTTGGATTCTTATGGGAGACTTTAATTGTTGTCACTTTGCTCATGAAAGGTGGGTGGTGCCTTGCTTACTCATCATAACCTTCGGGATTTTAACTCCATGATATTTGATACAAGTCTAAAGGATCTCCAATCGGTGGGCAGTCATTATACTTTGTATAATCAACGCTTGGATAACTGTATTAGCATTAAATTGGATCGTGCTATGGTGAATGAGGAATGGCTAAGTGTGCATCCTAGCTCCTTCTGCTCATTCCAAATCTCTTCATGCTCGGATCATTGTCCAGAGCAAAACCAATTATGGAGGGTTACTTCTCTTCTTCTGTTGGACTCAAGCAAGGGTGCCCTCTTAGTCCTTACCTCTTATGCATAGTTATGGATGCTTTATCTGCTCTGTTAGATGATGGGAACTTTTATTCGTATAAATATTGATGGATTCAAATTGTCACATCTTTTATATGCTGATGACTTGCTGATCTTTGAAAAACTTGATATCCAAAATTTCAATATGTTAACTCAAGCACTCAACACCTTTGCCATCTCAACTGTGTTATATATTAACTTTGAAAAAAGCTCTCTCAAGATGCCTAATTGTATCCACAATTAGGAAGTTATTTGTATGGCTCTTTCTATTCCTATCACAAGATCCAACATTACATATTTGTGAATCCCTCTCTCTTTCAAAAGAATTATTGTTACTTATTACCAACCTCTGATGGATAATCTCTTTAAGAAAATGTCTAGTTGGAAAGCCATCATGCTATCATTTTCAAGTCGATTGCAATACCTTAAATTTACTATATTGAACTATATAGCTTATTAGATCAAGGGATCATTTATACCTAAAAATGTTTCTAAGTTTATTAATAAACTTGCATCTAGATTCTTATTTTTTGGTAACATTGATGCTGCTAGGACGTTACGTCTGATTTCTTTGGATAACATTTGTAAACCCATAGCTAATGGTGGATTGGGCTTGCCTTCTCTTACTGCTCTCCAATTTGCTTTCAATATCACTATGATCAACATAATGTATAACCTCAATTCCCCACTTTCTTCTTGGTTTATGCATAGTTACACATCTCCTTGGTGCTCTCCCCAGCCTCATGCTTCATGCTTCTGGAAAAAGTTATGTAACTCAGCTGCTTTGGTAAAGAACTCTTTCTTGCTGCTAACTCTCACATATACATGATATGGGATCCCTGGTGTAATAGTACGTCCCTTGCTGAAATATCTAACGCCAATGCTAATGCTTTTATTCAAATTCTTGGCTCTAAAGCTCTTGTTAAGGATTATATTTCTGGCAATAATTGGGTTCTTCCTTATACATTTCCTTTAGCGGTTGCCAATGCCATCAATGCTACTCCCATATATGATTCTACGGTTGCTTGTCTCACATGGGGTAATTCGAGTGAGGGTTTCTTTGGCCAATTTGTTAAAGAATTTTATAAAGTAATCCCTCAGTGCTCTTGGCATAATATGATATGGCATAAACATTATGTTTTGGAGTTCTCTGTCTTTGCTTGGTTTTCTATAGTGGGGGTCTTAAAACAGCTGATGTTTTAATAAAAAAAAAATATACACGTTGATCCCACTTGTTTCCTCAGTCAAGCGGAAAATGAAAGTATTATGCATCTTTTCTTTGAATGCAATTACACCTATTCTCTATTATCTAATCTACTGCCAGTTTCTAGCTCTTTATTGCTCAAACCCTCATTATTAGATCTTTTGGAATGGATTAATGCACTACAAGAAAATAGCTCATTTCCAGCTCATATAAGAAAAGAGTGATGTCAAAAAATTTTACTTTCTCATCACTTGGTGCACTATTTATTTCATATGGAAAGGAATGAAAGAAGATTTGGGGACAATTTGTGTAGCCATGCCACCTTTTCAAACATCATTAAGAAAGCAGTTTTCACTAAGATATGCAAGTGGAAAGATTTTGCTAGGCTTTTGGCTCTTCTTTGAAGCATACTTCTCCTTGGTAGGCCTGTATTATTTGGATATGTTCCCTAATGCTGTTGACGTTCTTTTTGCTGTTGGGATTTTTGTAGCCTAGACAATAATGTTCTCCCTTACAGGCAATGCCTTGGATGGTCGCTTGGCAACCAGAAATTACGACCGATACGATCTTATGAATATGTTAGACATATTACACTGAGTCCAAGGTTCTACGACTCTGCTGGTTTTTGGCTGCTTCTAATACAAGCCTCTTTTTTTTTAATCTATTGTAGCAATTTGTGATTTAATTCTTATGTAAGCTGCTTCAATAGTTTTGTTAGGCCCTATCTTCTTGTAGGGCTTTTGTTTTGTGCTAGTTTCTCCTTTCTGTGGAGATGCAACTATAGATTTTTCTTTTTGATTCTGTAATTTTACAAATTTAATATACGAGTTTTTGCCTAATATTCCCCAAAAAAAAGCTTTGTTGGAATTGATTGTAAAATTACCTGTATAGTTGTTTTGATGAAAGCCTTTATTTTTGGAAGATATTGAAAGTATTATAGATTTTTAGCTTTAAAAAATTGGATAATAACTTGTTTACAACTATCACATTCTAACACATACAGTTGTAGGTGAATAGAAGTGTGATAGTAATCAAACCAAGTTAGCGAAATAGTTTTCTATAATAAACCCTCCATTAACAAGTGTTCATGCTTCAATACATATCCCTCCAGATTTAAAAAACATAAAATGATTATAGATATATATGTAGAAATCCACATAAATAAAATTAACTTTAATAATCCAAATAAACTCAATATTATAAGGATTTTGGCCTTTTGTATGCACAAATTATGTTGATTACCAAAAATAAATATACTTGCTTTCTGGGATGGGCAGTGGTGTCATCATTAGAAAGATATTAGTAATTATAAAATGCTCCTCTTTTCTTAAATAAGATATTAACAATTATAAAATCATAAGCTAAAAAAAAAATCTAATATGATCTAACAAACCTTTATTAGTCATTATAAACTTATAGTCACCATAAATGCTTTTAAAATATACCTCTTTATAAGCATGTCTATTTAAATCACCTCCATTAAAATTTTTTTTTTCAAAAAACATCTTTTGTAATAATTCTTCTAAATCATTTCGAAATTTAATTCTTAACCCATATCCAAACTTCCATTATGAATTTCCGCCTGCACTTGCGGATTCCGCCCGCTGCCCGCACTCATGACTTGTCAACCACTTCTGCCATTGTTGTCATTACCTGCACTCACAAACTCACGGTTGCCTGCACTCGCAGACTTGCAAACACCGCCCGCTGCTAGCACTATCGATCGCAGACTTTGCCTACACTCCCAGACTCTGCCTGCTACCGTTGCCGCTGCTTCGACGACGACTTTGAATAGGAGCTGGAAGTAGCGACGAGAGCTTTGCTGGCGCTTCTTCAGCCAAATCTTCTAAATCCGAGTCAGGTCGTATCAACCCGGTAACCCGCGTAGGTCAGGTCTGGGTTGAAATATCCAACCAGTTTGCAAAAAAGGGTCGATTTCAGGTTCACCCATTGAGATCCGGGTCAACTAGGGTTCGATACAAACCCAACCCGTTGACCCAAATTGACACCGTACATCAGCACAATTAACTTAACAAGACTTATCTCAAACCGCTAAGCGTGCTTTTCTAATATCTGCTTCGAGAGTGCAGATATTAATCCAATCCAATCAATGGATACTTCAATTAAATTTAATTAATTTAAAAAGTAATCAACCTTTTTTTAGATATTTTAGTAGAAATTACAAAACAAAATCAAATCTACATGAACTTTCGTAGGATTAAACAAATGAATTCGCCCATCTGAAACAAAAAAAAAAATGCTCAAAACATATCGATTATTTAACCAACCAACTACAGTGGATGAAACCAACTTACATTTAACCAACCATAACGATAAAATCAACTGAAAAAGCACTAAAACTGTCAAACAGCTAAAAGAGTTCCATTCTGTTACAATAATCTTCCCCACAACATAATTAGAAAAACATCAGCCGTATCGGCCCTGCAGCATTTCATTTGGGTAGATTAAACCTTCTGGAGTTCAATAAACTAGCATAAGTTGCAGTTGAAAAAGAAGAAAGATGAACGAAATTGATTGCATAGTCAGTCTTACCTGCATGGGGAGATAGAGCTTGAATTCTGGAGGAAGTTCTTCCTCAGAGTAAAGGCGGTCTGAGAAGTAGATTCTCCTCAAGCGGCAGTTTGCATGGACCTGCACTCGGAGAGTCTCCACATAGTTCGTACCATATGCTCTTCTGGTTAAATCAGTAAGATTTAACTGAATGTTATTCCATCCATCTTCCAACCGAAGAGGCATGGTGCAGATGAAAGGCTTCACACGTGTCATCGACTGAAAACAAAGCCAAATAGAGCTTGCATCAAAATGGATATATGAAGTTCATATTGCTAAAAGAGATCTATAGAGTACAACTATTAAGTTTATAGCATCAGTTTTCAATGGAATACATTCATCTTTTGGGGGGATTATTCCTTTTCAAGATTCTTTAACAATCGTTGATGGCAGTAGGAGGTCAGACGTGTGTGTACAACAACAACAAGCCTTTGTCTCACTATATGGGGTCGGCTACATGAATCTTTTTTCTTCATTGTGTCCAGTTAAAAGTCAAATTCTCATTTAAATCTAATATAGAAAGATCATTTCTAATATTTTCTAATCAAATCTTTTTAAGTCTACCTCTATCTTTCGTAACATAAGTCAAATCTAATACCTCTATTTTCCTAGCTGGGTCATTGGAAGGCTGTCATTTTATATGACCAAACCATCTAAGGCGACTCTCTCTAATCTTATCATCCCCTGGAGCTACTTGAACCTTTTCACGTATATGCTCAGATTCTTTAACTAGTTAATGGCAGTAGAAGGTCAGACGTGTGTGTGACGAGGATAAATTGAGTAGTTGAAATCCAACATAAACTGTCCATTTTTTAACACCCAAAACAAACTGTAACCAGATCTCCTGAATTCATAAATTAAGTTTCAGATGAGCATGCTTCAGTGGTGAAGCACACCTTCAGACTCCAGCAATTCAGCTAGTCGGCCCTCAATAGCAAAAAATTTGAAGTAAAGGAGAAGGGTCGGTGCATCATTGCCATCACCAACAATTTGGACTTAATGAGCTAACTCTTACTAATGTAACACCCCAGTTAAATGTTCCTACAAGATGCTTCTGAGACTACAAGGTGTAAAGTTCACAAATAAGCCCTTTAGACTATTCATCGAAAAAAAAAAAAAAACATTTATGCCTTCAATTTTTGTATCTTATTTGTTTAATATCAGCTCTCAACTGAGCGTGGGTCAAGTTATTTTAGCTTTGATGCAAATTACTTTGCCTTGTCTAAGGCAACTCTTTATATTGATAATGGAATTGCTGCGTATAGTTTGAATTCTTATAAGATTTAGGCTTCGTTTGGGACGGCTTTTTTATTGCTTTCTAAAACGGAGTTTTTGAACAAATTTTTTTATTTTTGTATTAAAACTCCGTTTTAGAAAGCAGTAAAAAAACCGTCCCAAACGAAGCCTTAATATAAAATTCAAAGCCGAAAACTTGTGACTGATTTTGAGGAACAATAACTGCATGCAGAACGCACATTTTTACTTGAGAATTAGTTAAATTGAATTTAAGCATCTAATGTATGCCATCTTTTGTACTTTAAGTAATATTAAAGCCTGAGACATATTGTACATTTACACCATAAAATGGCAAGCCAGAGAAAACACAAATTATAAATGACTAGCCAAGCTTCCTTTCCCCTCCCTCATTTTTTGGTGTTTAGAGTTTTCTTTTTTTAATTTATTTCTACTATGGTGGTGCTTCCGTTGTTTAAATTCAGAAAGGTGAAACAAAGCATGCCAAATTTTGACTTCATCTCTGGAATGCAAAATTCCCTGTATATAATACTCACTTATAGAAATAATTGCAGACATTTTAAATCCAACTCAACAATTCCCTTATCTACCAAGCCCCGGTAAATGCTGCGGCAATCATTCATCAAATGTGCAAAGAAGATAAATTGGGGATTTTGACATTCAACATAAACCATATGTTTTTTAACGCCCAAAACAATTTGTAACCAGATCACCTGAATTCACAAATTAGGTTTCAGATAGCATGCTACAGTGGTGGAGCATACATTCAGACTCCAGTTTAAAGTTTCAAGCAAATGAAGGAGTACATAACCACAATACTACTACAACAACAACAACAATCATTTATCCCACTACGTGGGGTCAGCTACATGACTCTTTTTTCTCCATTGTGGCTTGTTAAGAGACAAATTCTCATTTAAATCTAATTAAAAAAAAAGACATTTATAATATTTTATGATAAGTCTTTTTAAGTCCACCTCTACCTTTCTTAAAATATTCTAAATCTAATACATCTACTCTCCTAAAACACCTACTCTCCTAACTGAGTCATTAGAAGACCGATGTTTTATGTCACCAAACCATCTAAGGCGACTCTCTCTAATCTTATATGACACTAGAGCTACCCCAACCTTTTCACGTATGTACTCATTTCGCATTCTATCTCTAAGAGTAAAGCCACTCATCCAACCCGAGCATCCTCATCTCTGCAACACTGAACTTAATTTTATACTTCTCTTTTAATTGGCCAACATTCTATGCCATAAAGCATTGCAGTTCTCACCACCATCTTATAGGATTTTCCCTTAAATTTGAGAGGTACTTTTTTATCAATGCATAACCACAATCAAAGTGCTAAATTAGCAATTCTAGCCAAGAGCTGACACCAATGCTTAATGTGAGATGAAATCCTGTGAAAATTGCAGGATGCAGGAGCAGAATAGATTTCTAGAAACAAGAACCCCACTAAAAAGAAGCATCAATAATTTGCAATGGTTTGGATAAAATATCCATGATACATGGTTAGTAATCCCCATCATCATTAAGTAGGAGAGATTTCTTGAAAAATTAAAGCAATTTGTGCAAGTTTAACAATCTTTATTAGGTCATTGGAACTACTTTAAGAATACTGTACATGAGGGCTTAAGGATGGAAATGGAATGAGAAAAAAATCGAAGTATAGTAATGAGTTAAAAAAATTAAGGCTACAAGGTACTAAAAATCATCATGATAAAAGTCATCTATAGCCTTATCCCAGCTATTTGGACTAAAAGCGCTAAAAATAAAAGGAACAAAATAAAGATCCAAGGGACCAATGTTTAAAGTAATGAGACCATCCTAAACCTTTTAATTCTTACCAATGTAATACCCCAGTTAACCGTTCCTAGAAGATTCTTAGAATACCTCATTCAACTGAAAGTTGCAATTAATTTGAGCCTACAATTTCTAAAGGGCCCCAAGTTCACAAATGAGCCCTTTGGGCTATTTTGTCGAAGAAATACATTTATGCCTTCAATTTTTTTTCCTCATTTGTTTAACATCAGCCCTCAACTCAGCGTGGATGAAGTTATTTAACTGGTGATGCAAATTACTTTGGCTGGTGGAAGGGCAATTCTTTTATTGTCAATGGAAGGTATAATTTCTTTACTAAGAATTCTCCTAAGGTTTAATAGCAAGTTCACAGGGCTAAAAACTTGTCACTGATCTTGAGAAACATTAGAAAATAAATGCACATCACTGTGGGCTCCGAAAATTCGTCTCTCTCTCTCTCTCTCTCTCTCTCTCTCTGCTTCTCTGAGATCAGGATCGGCACAGGCGGTGCAGGAGGGGAGATCGGCTTCGGGGTTTTGGCTCCAGCAAGCGTCGGCGTCAGATTTTGATCGGAGGAGAGGCGGCTTTGAGTCGTGGGGTTGGGTCGAGGGAAGGAGGAGTTTGGGTATCGGGAGACAGAAAGAGAGCGACGGAAGCTTGAGGGCTTTGTTCGCGAGAGAGGAAGTGAATCGAGCTGCCAGTGTTGTGGGAGATCGACTTCTATTTAACGACACTTGTGGTCGTTCGATCGAGGCGAGGATCACAGGATTTCCGCAGATTTTTCGGAGAAACGACGTAGACGGCGCCGAACGGCAGGATTCGCGGAGGCTTTCGTGGATCTGATGGGTATGTGCCATAGGATTTCTGCATTGCTTCCTTCTCCCTTTCATTCCTTTGGTTATTGTTTAGAGGTCAACAATCACACATCAAATGCAAACTTATACATGGTTGAGAAAAAGTTGAACTTCTACTAATATTAAGACGAGACATCTTGTTGCCTTATCTACAATTAAAAAAGGCATGCCAGAAAAATACACATTCTATATGGCCAGCCAAGTTTCCTTTCTCCCTTCCTGATCACATTTAGGTGTTTCTGAGTGTAAGGGTGTGTAAATTTTTCTTTTTCTTTTTTTATTTGTTCTTTTATGCATGCCATCTATGGCTTCATTTGTTGAATGCAAAATCTCCACTTATATAACACTCTCTGATAGAAATAATAGCAAGCACTTTAAATCCAACTTAATAACAGCCCAATATTCTAAGACTGGTAAATGCTGCAGTAATTTCTTCAATCCTTGGTAAACGAAAGCAATCATCGAGAACCTATAAGCATTACAGATTAGCCAAATTTAACTAGCCTTTCTATGTGATTCTAAAGGGATCACTCATATGGGGTATTGATCAAAACATGAACAAAAGGTCAAACTTACACACTTGATAATTGGATGCTCTAAATCGTCGACGGACATTCTTATCATCCAGCACCTGAATCTCAAAGGTGAAATATTTTTTCAAGTTCTTTACAATCATGACCAAAAAGGGAAGCTTTATGCCAAGTGTTGCTGCGGGATCAGCTGGACAAGTGATGTATGTTGACTGAACATTTGATCCAGCTATTTCGAGGACACTGGATTGAATATCTTCATCATGAGGTCGTTTGATTTGCCCATTAACCACTGCAACGACTCAATGAATGGGTTATGTAATAAAGAGAATTTTTACAGAATTGCAGGCCCAGCAACAAAGTTGCAGAAACATCAGAAATATCAAATCTGAAAATACACGGTTCAAGGAACACAACATTGATAATAGTGATTAAACATCATGATTCAATGAAGAACTCAGTACTGTAATACTTTTTGCAGAGGGTTTGAGTCAACCTTTGAGTAAGAAAAAATAAGCAATAGAAAGTTGTGGATCTAAGTTAATTACATATGTCATAAGAGTCAAAAATTCGGACTTCATCAGTTCAAATCTCAAAAAATCTAAAAATGGGATGTGTTTGGTTGTCATGATTAAAAAAGTTTAAAATTCATATTGGCAATCAAATTAGTAGCAAAATATAAACCCGTAAAAAGAAATAAATTGTTATATGCAGAAATTATACAGAAATATATAATGAATTTGCTGTTAAGATTGTCCAAATACATGTCCTAGATGGAAAACATTAACAAGGCACAAAAAAAGCAGGTCCTGGAAATCATCAAATCTTATAAAAGTGATCTTGATCGAAGGAAAATCTCAGAGAGGACAAGATAAAAAAAAAATTAAGTATGCTGCAATCTAAATACCTTCTTTATCCCATATCTGCAAAGGTTTACTCCTGCCAAGCAATAACAAGAGGTTAGAAAAAAATCCACCTGATGAGACAACAACAAATTTCAAAGCAATGTAATCAAGGCAAAGGATTGCATACCCAAGACTGTACAGGATAGACAAGAAACCAGACTGAAATGTGTTCTTAAACATAATTCCTCAGCCACTTTTCCTGGAGCCACATACAAAAGGAAACTAAGACAAGTCACAGTGAAAAAAGAAGGCAAGTTCACAATAAACAAAAAGGCACATGAACAAAGGATTTCCCCGAGTTGTCGAAACTGCCACCCAATAAAGGTAGGTTTGATTCTACTATACACCTTTTGTATTCTGAGTCCACCATTTATATTTCTAATTATAGGTTTTTACTGTTTTAAATGTAATTTCTTAGTTTTCGTTGGGTACTATCAATGTTGAAGGGACTAGGTTCTGTTTTTTTTTCCTCTTTATGTAATTTTCTTTTCTAGTCAATGATATGGCCTTTGCCTCTAATTTTCCACGAAAAAAAAAACAACAAACCAAAAAGGATGTTCTCATTTTCTTGAATAAATAAAGGAACCGATCACTTCGACCAAGGTAAACTGACAGTACTGTTTTCACGGCATGTGTATCATTAAATTCTAATCCACTAAAATTTCACAGCATAATAAAAAATTGATTATGTACCCGAATTCAAAATTCTCCTTTATGAAGAAAACTACAACTCAAAATTTGTAAGAAGAAATCTAAGTTCAAAGACTTCAATCGGATTGTTCGAATGATGCTACAAACAAGTCTAAGAGAAAAGTAGAAAGAAGGCCCACAATTAGATTTTTGATATGCATTAAGGAGAAGCAAGATCTCGAAGAACCAAGTTTGCACAAATTTAAAGACAAGAAAGAACCCTTACGTTGCAAAAGTATAAATTGAAGAAAGAATTATAATCCTTTTCAAATCAACTATTATTATGAGATGTTCCTGGAATGATAAATGTCAATTCAATGTTGTCAAAAATTGAGAGGCAGAAGATGATAATTAGGAGAATAACAAGAAAACTTGATCAATAGAAAATTGCTTAAAATTGTTAATCAAGACAACTTGATAGATTGAAAATTATATTATATGATCTATATTGTACTATATTTTATGCATGACACATATTTTATAAAAGGTAGAGTTATGATGGATTGAGAAAATTAAAGTTGTAATTACTCGAAGAAACTCAAAATTATAATCTCAATCATATGCTATTTTCCTTAATTAATTAAAATTGAACTAATCATATTGTCCGATTATGTAAGCAATATACCCAATGAAAACCTGCAAATAAAAGAGCGAAATCAAAATTCAAGAAAATATCAAAATACATTAACCTTATTGTATAGTAGAATCAAACAAGGACTATGTTTCCTATAAATTGGACAATTATACTATCGTAATATATGATTTTTTTATCGGACTCTATGATATGGCCAAATTTTTTAATAAACGACCTTCTAGGATTTTCTAATGTACTCATCTTATAAATATATTTTTTCTGAAAAATCCTAAAATGTGATTTTTAAGGAGGCTGTTGAAAACTTGAGATCTTTGGAGAGAAGGATTTCTTTTGCAACTTCTCTTTTCTTTTTAAAGTCTTCAACAATTCAATATAATTATTTTGTGAGAATTTGCACCATTGGTTGATTCCCCCAAATTGTATCCTTAATCATTTAATTTTAAAGTCTAAAGCTTTGATCCAGAGCTTGATATGCTTTGCTTTTAAAGATTTTTTGATCTTATGGAATCTTGTTGTGTACTATAAATCTAGCTGATAGGCTAGGTTAGCTGTGATATGTGATGATAATATTTATTTATGCTTTCATAATATATAGTGATATGATAAATATAAGGATTTAATCTTGATCTTCATAAATTGCATTTTCACTTTAAAAGTAAAAGCAGGTTTCATAACAAAAAGGGTTTTTTGGCTTTTAAATTTGTTTTTGTGATTTATCTTGTTTTGGATTGTCTCCAAATATTTCTTATTATTATTATTATTATAAATTTAACACTACTGTTGCCATGTCCCAAGCCCTGGATGAGAAAAATGGTGGGTTGTGATAGGTAATTGACAGCCAGCATAAAACTTGTTCAATAAGCATGATATGAATCTTTTAATATATTATATTAATGTCAGGGTGTTCTCTAGAAGCAACACTCTGTATAATATGAATACAATGAAAAGTGTGTAATAGTTGTTGAACGGGCACCCAGATGTAGTGTTAAATAAGCAAGGTTTTCCACCTCTGGACTACTATGAGCAAAGAAAATTAGTCCAAGAAACTAAAATTAGGATAAGAATTTAGAATATAGATTCTCTTGTAGTCAAATTAATAAAATTAATAGATATTTGTGGGCTCCAAAAATTTGCACCCTAGCCTCTCCACTCCTACTTTGTTGATGGGGAGAGTTTTAAAGGATTTAGGCTCCGGGTAAATTTTCATAAGGCAGATTAGGTTTTAGATAAGACACTATCCAGAGATTTAGCCCTCATTTTGTGAGAAATTCATAATCTGAGTTTTAGTTTCCCATATCGCAAGCCCCTATGGTTAATTATCTCTCCCGATAATGAGAGAGAACTTTCGATTAAGACTAATCGTTAAGTAGGCATTTAGTACCCAATATACGATATCAACAGTTTTAGAATTTGAATTTAACTTTGAATTTTGGAGTTTATAATTTTAAATTTATCACCATATACTTAAACTAGATGATGATGGTTCCGTTGTCCCGGCCTGTCAAGGTCCCTAGTCTACTTAGTCAGAGGGTTGATTCATCTAAGAACACCTTGTAAACCTAAGATGGATGTTTATCCAAGGGGATATATTTGAGTCCACCTTAAGTGACAAAAAGAATTTATACCTACTAAGTAGGTCATATGATTCATTACTCGAGAACTTAAAACTGTTAGGGAACATATAGGTTTTGTCCATAATTGTAATATAGTGGAGTAATTTATAGCAAAATCATTCAATTATAGGGCACATGCCACGTCCCTGCTGGTGAGAGATTATTTGAGAATGAATCTTAGTGATAGATACAATATAACATTTGCTCTTTGTAAGCAGAAGTTAGTTTCAAATTTATCACCCCCGACAAATGATTGCAGAAAGCGAATAGAGTTAAATTTAATTTTTTTGTGATTAAACTTCCATTTAAATGTTTAAAATTTAGCATATATTAAATTTTGAAATTTTAATAAGATTTGAGCATTGACCCCTTTGGTTGAGATTCACTTTCAACACATCCATCATCGGGATGACATGATTGTTATTTAAAAACATCTGTATTTTGTAGGAATTTATGAGGCATCTTAAAAGTTTGACATCCCCTCCGGTTGAGATTTTCTGTCAACACGGTTATCAATGGGGAAGTTTAAATGATTGATTATTTAAACATTGTCAACTCTTTTTGCTTGCTGACATAGGATTGGGTTTAACAATTGATGATTATGCGATCGCTAAAACTGAAGACTTATATTTTATGATGAATTTCATCTAGAGAGCCTCACGTAACTTTTTTAGACACTGAGTTTCAAAGTTTTCTGGCAGGACAACTTCTTGAGTAGATTCATGTCTTTTAATATTCTTTCAGCTTTCCTTGAAGCTTCTAAGCATAAATTATATATTCCATCTATATTAGCTTCAAAATGACACTACTTCTAAACCTTACAAGTGATTAATTTCATAGAACTCGCATATTCAATTGGAGGTTTAATGCATTTGCTCTTTAAACAGCATGAGCATCACATTCTTAAAAGGGAGAACATAGTTTATTATTATTTTTTTATAGAATTATGTTTTCTTTTTATAATCATTTGAAATTACACACACATACATGCCAGTATAAGTGGAGTTTTATGATCGTTAGGTACTCGTTTTGCAAACTAATTTCATTGTAAGCATAATACTAATAGGACTAAATTAAGGACGTTTAGTCATTTCATTAAATATTTATATATTTATCTACATAACTTGTTTTATTGATCAATTCAATACATTCGACTGACATTTTCCTACAGTTTGCCATGTGGTGAAGACTGCATTTGTGAGTTTTAGGAAAGAAATATGTGAAATAAATATTTAATTAAAGTGAAGTGCATTGTGGATGAAGATCAAAATGTGATTTTCTAAGAAGAGGATATTCAACCAATGTTTAAAATTGCGTATTTTGGTATTGAGGCGTTTTTCATTCGTGAGGCGAGGCGTAAGCCTCAAAATCAAAAGATTGCGTAAACATAACATGATAAATTTTTTATATACTAATGAGTGAATAATATAAAACATAAAAAAACATTAGATATGAAGTGAAATCAAAATATCCCAATAATAAGATAACATGAAATATATTTCAACTCAAATTCTATCTTTCCCAAATCCCAATATTCTTTTCATTAACATATAATTCCAATTTCTAAAAATAAATAGTAATGACATATCACATAAGAACTCATAAGTCATCAGCACTGTCATCACTAAGGGGTTCTTCATTTGAATCATCATTATGATGAACTGCCCACTCCCTTTCCTCCTCTCCTATAGAGTCCAATGTCGAGCATTTACTTCAAGATTTATGTAAGTTTTTATATATATAGCGTGAGGCGTAAGCCTCATGCCAGTGAGGCAAGGCGGGCCTCAA